CTTCCATACAGTTTATGCCCAATGCATTGAGCTTGTGTACGAACCTTTTTGATTTCTTGCCCACTCGAATGACTCTGAAGTGCTCACGAATCTCAGTCGGCATCTGCAGCATATCCAGGTCTAAGCCTCGCAGGGGGGACTCAATCCCGTATCACCCGTCTTATTCTCGTGGGCTTTGATTGTGGCTCACATGGGGCGGAACACGAGATGCAGGCAATGAAATTGTGTCTCTTCTGAAGTGTGAACGGCCTGCCAAGATTGTGCCAACGGCGCTATCCTGCGTGCAAGACGTGCTCAAGCTTGACAGCTGATTGGCTCTTGCTTGGCCCCAAACAACCCTAGCGCCTCAATTGCCCATGCATTCCAGCGTAGCGAGGCCAAATCAGCAACACCAACACCTTAGAGCTGAGAGCCGTACTGCACAGGGGTGAGAAGAGGGTATACAATGATTGCAACGCACAGACATTGGAGCCAAACCGCAATGGGGCAGATCTGATTGTGATGCCTAGTTGCTTGCTAAAAATGCAGCAATGTCAGCAGACATGGCATAGCCCGAGGCCTGCATTGCAGCTTTCCCATCAAATGTGGGAGGTGCGGCCAGGAAGTGGCTGAAATATCTGCAAGCATGTGGCACTGCCAACAAAAAAAAAGGAGAAGCCAGTCCGCCTCAGGGTATGGGGGATACACCCCGAGACCCAAATCCTGGCTATATCCCAGATTGTTCCACTGCCTCTGATGTCAAGCAACTAAGGGCAAATTGGAGACATACTAGCATAACAATTCAGACGGTCAAGCAAGTTTAATAACATCGACCGCTGCTGCAAATGCTTGGCCACAAAACAGTGCAAGCAAGCCACGGATTGTACGTGTCATTTGTCAAGACCTGCCACAAGTCAGTAGCTGCATTCCAAACAACTGCTCCATTCGAATCAATTGCTGCCATATTACCCTGGCTGCAGCCGTTTTCCTCTGTATTGGCAGCGTCGCCGGAAAATACAATTCATGCCAAATACGATGCTGTGCATCTATGGAACAAGCTCAGCTGGCTGTGGTTGCTGATTGCAAACTAGACAAAACTCAGCGACTGAATTCTACGTAAGTCTACCCTGTACTCTGACAGTCTTAGACACACCTTGATACCATCACTTATGGAAGTATCGACTTGTCAGCTGTTGTCTTGCATAAAGAGGGCGGCTCTTGCCCATGATGATGCTCAGTGCAGCACTTGTCGAGCACCTGCGAGTCCTCCTTGCACGACGTGCACTGTTTACCCTTGCATTCACTGCACTTCTCAGCCACACAAGACTTGACATCCTCGGACAAGACTGCATCTGTGCAAATTTGCGGTGGGTTGACAGAGTGCCGATGTCGGTCGCAGCATGCCATGATCTTCGCTGTATCTTCTTGGCAAAGCTGGCAAGCCTCGCCACTGCAACCCTCGCAAACATCTGTCATACAAGTCTTCACATCCTCACCCCACGCACATGTCAAGCCCTCTGTTCCAAGCAGACCAGCGCAGGGCAGAGTCGTTGACCGGCACTCATTGGGTAGTTCGGCATCGTGAAAGTCACCAGAACAGCATGAGGAGACAGTCTCGGAGCCTTCTTGGCACAGCTTGCATGATACTCCAGAGCAACCTTTGCACTGAATGCTCATGCAGCTTTTGACATTCTCAGCCAAATCTGCATTCCGGCATACAAGTGGAGCTTTAGCTGAGTGGGAGTGCTTGTTGCAGCAAGATGTTATGAGTTTTGTGTCCTCTTTACATTTTGCGCACTGCCATCCAAGACAACCCTCACACTTGCGATCCACACACCGCGTGGACTCCACCTTCCACAGGCAAGTAATAGCTTCCATGTCCCGCAGATCTCCACAATCTGACTCGGCGCTCGCTCCCAGCAGCCCAACCAAGCCCAGGAAAATAGTGGTCAGTGCCATCACGACGCGTGCAGCACAGTTCAGGTTGCTTGATCAATCAAACTGCTGCGGCTTGCGCACAAGCAAATCATCTCTGAAACCAAGGACAAGTTTTTATGCTCTGCGCAAAACCTTTCAGTTGGTATCCGAAAGCAGTTTCAAAGCAAATGCCGCCTTGTTGCCATGCAGAATTGTGCCCAGTATGAAAGGACGGCCTTGCGCGGCTGCAAGAACTCATCGTGTCTAGCTACGAAGCAAGGATGAAACTTGCATGGAACCGATCAACCAGCATGCGAACAATGCCCGCTGGCCTACTCCATCTGGGACAGCTGCTCCAGTTAAGTGACCTGCAAACTTGCGGCGCAGCTCGAGAGAGTAAAATTGCAGACAGACGAGACAGACGGTGCAAAACCTCCCACACAGACATCACCGAATCACCCCACCATGCAAAGGCCATGAGCCAGCAGGCAAGTCGGATCGACAGTTTAGTCAAGAGGCGAAGGCGATAATGGAAGGCTTCCCAGCCGGTGGTATCAGACAGAGTACAATCTTCGAAGGTAGCGCAGTTGCCCTCTGCATTTACTTGAAAATAGTGACAGCGCCTATCCATAGCACACTGGATTTGGCACGACCTGAGCAATGCAAGGCTGCTGTTGCCTGCGTGATGCTTGAATGAAATCAGTCGACTCCCCCCCCCAATGTTGCAACATGTTGTTGAGCATGAAGAAGGGCAACCAATACATAGTCTTTCGTTTGGAAAGCACTGCACGCTGTTGCAAACACGTCGCAAGCGGCCCAGCGAATGCATTCTCCATCTGGCTGTAGCGGTTCCGCACGTTCTTGGCCTTGGTAAGTGCCAGGGGTTTGGTGCTCGGAAACACAAAGCTAAACTGTAAAGCCCCGCAATACTTCCAACTTTGACAGTTCTCTTGCCAAGCTGCATTCGCACCACTCCCCTCCCAGCAGCAGCATGGGGAAGGAGCGGCAGCAAAAAGCGCAAAGGCAACACTGAGTCAACATCAGCGCGAATGAAGAACTTCACCTCAAAGCGAGCCTTATTCGAGGCACGCTTTTACCTGGTGGCGTTGCGCCTTTTACCTCGAGGCCGGATTTTGGCCAAGTTACCAGCAGGGCCCGATAGGACAAAGCCATTTTCTGCAGCAGCTGCCTGTAGCCATGTTGACAGTCGATGAAAAGAACATCAGCTGCATCGCCTGGAAACAGCCAAACTGAGAGGCACCTCGCTCTGTAGTTTAGTGCGAGCTTGTCTTCGCCCAGGCTTGTCGGGGCTGTCAGTATCCGATTTTTCATGAACCCCGCGTCATGGTGCTTTCGGAATGTGTGTTGTTTTTTGGTCTGAAATTGTCCTGAGTCGAAAACATGGCGATCTATCCGCATAACAAATCAGTTTGTGACTTCGATTCAAGCGGCTCCAGAAACAACTTAGCTCCAACATATTGATACAGCGTCTTGAACATGTCAACATGACAGTTAGTAGTGGTGGCAACATGTCACCAGCCCATAGCCAAAGGTGAAAGACTTCGCTCAGACTTGCGCTACCTGCTTGGGTACCGTCCTCGCATGAGGGCCCCATATCAGAGTAGCAACTTAATATGTCCCTAGCTTCAAAGGACGTGGAATAAGCTTTGCATATAGTCAAGACCGGCTGAGAGGACAATAAATATGGTCGAAACGTGTCACCAACTGCATGCCTGCTCAAACAAAAATGCCAACCTACGTTGCAGCCCCATTGACCTGCTGAGGACTTGAGCTGCGACGCATCGGGGTCTGCGTTCGAAATGAGGAAGAAGTGTCTGTGGGTCAAGGCCTGAGATGCTCACTGCAGTCACTCTGTGCCTAGCTACCGGCTTGCGGCTTGCTCGCACCTAGGCCTCAGAAGCAGCTCTCGAGTTGAGGGCCACGCCCCCCAGTCCTTGTTGTCAACATGCAGCCAGGTGTTCCTGTGACAAGAAACACCGCAAAAGGAATCAAATGGCTGTATAACGTTTATAACGTTTGGAAGGGCTTGGCAGATTGGCTTGGCCCAAGTGGTCAAGGGCAGTCAGCTTGGATCAGTTCAACCAGCAGGTGAGCCCCAACCTAGTCTACCCCAAACCATCAAAAGCGACTGCCTGCATGCTCTGATGTTGGTCATACGCCCTGCCTAGCGTGTTCCATCAGCCCAGCATCGCTAGCCCTGGCAGGGATGACAATTATGACATCCAATGCCTCGCGCGTCCACGATCGACCTCGTGACGGCTCTAGCCATGCGCCATGTACAGGCTTACCGTGCAACGTGCTTTCAGGTCAATTGAGTTCCGTGCGTGTCAAAATGGCTGTCTCGATGGGAACGGATCCAGAGGTCATAAGAGGCGGAGGGAAGTATTGACTGGCCAAGTGAATCAAGCGCAGCCAGTAGCAATCGAACCTGATCAGAAGAGCCAGCAATCTGCCTATCAATCACATCTAATCTTTGCACACACAAACAAACAAACAAACAAACAAACAAACAAACAAACAAGCAAACAAACACACACACACACACACACACACACAAACACAAACACAAACACAAACACAAACACAAACACAAACACAAACACAAACACAAACACAAACACAAACACAAACACAAACACACACACACACACACACTCACACACACACACACACCATTGCTCAAACAAAGCATCTGGGTCGCTACCGAGACAGGCAATCACATACAGTATCATCTGAATCAACATGCGCTGCATCACGCTTTGTCGGACGCACATGATGCCTGGAGTTCTCTTGAGCTCATCCCTTTTTCTGCTGAAAAACACATCAGCACACAGCCTTGACTCCCAAGCAACCCATCATCGGTGAGGTGAGTCTTGGCCCACAGCTGTGATTGAGCGGCGATAGCCTCAGCGGCCAGAGGCAAGCTGAATACAGTGAGATGCAACGCCGTGTCTGTGCCTCGGCCATGCCAGAAGCCCGGAGCTCATCCAAAACGTCTTCCGCAGAGGACCATAGCAAATCCATTGCGACGAAGTGCTCGCCGTCCTCAAAAAACGCTCTGTGACTGGCACGGCAAAGTTTGC